CTATTAGCTTGTTTATAATAACCTGAATACTTGAAAAACGAATCAAATAGAAATATACTCCATGGTATCAATTCAGTGAACTGTTACAGAAACTAGTGTATACGTAGAATTAATGAGGTATTCTGCTTCACCCTGCAATCTAAAATGTCATTTGGTTGTGTCTCTCGTACTATGTAAAGGGACGCTGTAATTGGCGAAAGCTGTTTCGTATGCCTACTCATGTCAATGTATATATTGTTTTTGTATGTGTGTTTAGCTATTGTCTTATGTTCATTTGATAAAGCCTAATAAATATAATTCGCATTTCACTTCTAAGGTCTCAGGTTCGACTCTGAGTGGGGAGCTTTCTCGATGTGACCCAATACCTGGTTCTTATGTGAAAAAAATGAAATTAACACTTTTCGTACGTTTTGTCGTGGTGCCCCCGCCCGTCACAAGCTCCTCTCCCCTCATAGGGAAAGTTGACAGGAGTGAGTGGTACGGGCCCACGGTAATTCACGCGTATGTTGTCATGGTGACCGTGCCCACATTGGTGAAACATTTCAACAAAATTAAATAAAGAAATTTAAGGAATTATAGTTGGGTTGATGGGTAAGCTACAATTATGCCGCATTCAGGTAAAGAGGAATAAGGAATATTCATGTAGGATATGACCTAGGCCGCGCGTGGATGCAAAAGATTGGAGGGCAATTTATTAATTCACGACAAATGGTGGTATTATTCAATAGTACGTTTGAAGTGTTAGTACCTTTGAGGTTTCTTCAACCAGTTGCTAACTGTCAATAATTCAGTGTAGTCAGTTTTGCATGGTATATCTCGAGCAATATTACTGATGGCTTTAGGCGCTTCAGATACTCCAGTCACGTTGTACAACAAACCATTGCCATCGGGTAGAGCGAAGAATACGGAGCCCTGTGGAACGAAATAACAATGGCAAACATTGCATTAGAGGAAAAGGTTGAAGAGTATCATAGTATGATGTAGTATAAATGAATCAAATACTTAAGAGACAAACAAAAATATAAGAAGTGAAGTGCACATGCAGCCAACTAGAATTCTGTATATTTTGTGATGTTTACCTATAGGGTAAAAGGCATGTAGCCAAACGGTGGATATACCTTTCTGCACGAGCAATTTTTCTGTGACAATTTTTATTTACCCGTGTAGAACTGCAAAATTGGGCAATTTCTGTGAGGCAAATACATTTTTTGAAAAACTGGCGTATTAACTTTTATGTGCCAAATAAAATTTGCCACATAAAATTTGCTCGTGTAAACGGGGCTTAAGTAAAAAATATCAATGAAACAAAATTATAGATTACAAGCAAACTTAACTTTTCTGTCTAAACATAACAATTATGCATGAAGTTCAGAAAAATTAGGTGCAACTGTTTACAAAATAAATAGGAGCGATAATTTTGCTTATGGACCGTTTAAGCTAAACGCCTTTGATACAACCTAGCTTCGTTACAAATGTTCGGTTGAGGAAACACGCGGTCAGCACATTTATCATTAATCTACTCATTCACATCCATCAAAGAGAGGAAATTGCGCCCGGGAATGGCAGCAATAATTGCAAGTGAAAACGGGACTGATTGAGAGAAACCGTATCTCCCAGAAAGAGAAAAACCATTCTTCACGTTAGATCAAAATGTTTCTCAACAAAATCCTTATATTTTCAACCTACACGGTAGGAAAAAAATAGGTTTGCACTAATTTTGCAATCAGTGCCAGTTTGCGATTTCATCAAATTTGCAAGGTCGCAAATGTTCTGCAAATTTAGAAACCAAATTTTTGGAGAAAATAGTCACTAGTGCACTTGTGCAAAAGAATGCTAATTTGTGCCAAATTTATCCTATACTCTTGCTTTCTCAAAAGAATTTGTATTGGTGAAAATTTACTTGCCAACTTATTTTACAAATTTTGCACAATAGCACAGTAGACTGATTAGATAACAAACGTTGATGATGTTAAACAAGCGATTTCTTCTTGTTTACCTGCACTCATAACATCGCTTACCGTGTGTCTCTTTCCCTCGTGCGTCATGACCAGAGGTCGATATGTCAAGTCGTAATTTTTGCTTTGCTGTGGGTCAACAGTTGTCATACATAGGGGTCAGGTAGCCCAGAATGTGTCCAGTTTTTATTTAGCGCTCAGTGGGACAGCATTCCCACAATGCATTATTCCTACGGTCATAATTGCTCTCCCGCTGAGCGCTATATAAAAACTGGACGCATTCGAATTTCAAATTCTAGCAACCTCGTACCCAGGTCCTTCTCAAGTTTTCCAGCGTGGAAATCGAGACTCTGGCGCAAAAGTCGGGTTTTGCTTGCCGGAGTACCAGTCTCGATTTCAACGCGGGAAAACTTGAGAAGGGCCTGGGTACGAAGTTGGCATTGAAGTGTAAGAGTTAAAGAATTATACAGTAGATAATGTGCCCCAGCTTCGCAATTTACACAATCTTTTTCTTTTCTGTAGATTATAGGAAATCAATGAACGAAAAATATCCATCTGTGTTAGAAAGTAAGTACGTCACCACACGCCATATTGAGGTTAATAGGCGTGTTTTTTTTACCAGTTTTGTTTTTTAGTGTTCTACCAGAGTGCTGAGTTGCTGGTAACATGGAAGTCCGAAAAGATGATTACAAGTCTTGGGGCGTTTCAGCTACGGAATGAAGGATAAACTTACAGCAATTACAATGAAAAATTGTAAAACAATGAAATTTGTCAATTGTCAACGATATTGAATAATTTATATAAGTGTCTAGCTGAAAACTAACATAAATGACAACATGTATGTTCTGTTGTGATCTACAGTAATTAAGATTTTTAAACTCCGTTGGCTAAGCTGTCGTGGCAAAAATGTTCCTGCTATACCGAATAAATAGGAATGTCATCTGCAAAAATGTGGAATATTTCCGGAGTCTTTGTTTTTCTTCTCTTGGAGTTTTTGAAAAAATGTTTGGATGTCTTCTTTTGTAACGGTCTGTAAAGTTATACCAAACAAGGTATTGTGAGATATGCTCAAATTATGTGGCCAGTGTAGGTAGCGGACAAGTAGCAAAAGTTCTACCCACTAGCTAAACGATATAATAAGATTCAACGTTTTGGGAATTAGTGGGAAGGGCCGAGAATGGGTCAAAACGTCGAATCTTATTGCATCATTTGGATAGTGAGTTGAACCTTTGCTGCTTGTTGATATTGTGAAATCTTGATAACTTTGTCATGATACCTTTCCTTCTTTGGCAAAGTCAGCGAGGTAACTGGTCAGTTGTGTCTTCATATCATTGTAACCTGGACAAGGAAGAAGACCGAAAATTTTGGAATGATATCGATACCTCCAGTCAACAATCAGACCCTGGACTACGATCAGGGGCGCCTCCTCCTCGCCACGCCCCCCCCCAAACCACCCCCCTCCTGTCCCTTCCCCCCAAGCCACGCCCCCGCCAAATACTACGTTTCTCTTACCGTGTAGGATCTCTATTTGCTGGACTCTGCCTAGACTGTTCAACGCATTGAGACTGGAGTCGTAAGAACTGGACTGTTGTTCTCTCCGTGACTGACCGCGATCTTCGTACGATATTATGGTATCCGATTCGTCCATAAGAAATTCGACATCCTGTTCTTTGTACATTAGCTAGAAAATGAAAATAAATGATCTTGCTCTACATCATATACTGGGTACCGTGATGTTGTCTTCACGCAGATGGGATGTTAATGGCAATGCATCCCATCATACCTTGCACGCTTGACAAGAACACAACTTCGCCCTCCAGCCATTTTTCCAATAAGTGCAACCAGATTTCTTTTTTTCGTTTCCGAGAAGTTTTTGATAAATGCATTCGGTCTTGTCTTTCGCAGTTTTCTCGGAATTTTTCTCTTCGCACAACTTCTTTGAAGATGTCTCGCCATGCGCTTCGCTTGGCTCGTCACCAGCTCCTTCGCTTAACTTTCTTTTGGGCGCTTTCTGTGGCGAGGTCTGGCAGTTGTAAGGAGAGAAGATAATATATTGGCGTAATATATATATATTTATATATAAGCTAGCTGATCTGACCGTGTGCAAAAGGCCTGGAACTAGCTACCGAATAGAAATCCATTTTGCATATTTTGTACTAGTGCCAGTACTTTTCCGTGTTTCCAGATCAACTGGTATATATATCATATAAATTATAATATACAATGTATATAATTTATATTATACGTACATTATATATAAAGTATTTTTTATATTAATACATAATATAAAAAATAAAAAATATACAATATAAATATAGAAATTATATATAGATATAATTTTTATTATACATTTTAAATTTGTTTAAAAACACATAAATTTTTAAAATTTACGTACTTCTATACAAAAGTGCTCTTTTTTAGATTGGAAAAAATATTTTGATTGTTCAATGACAACATAGACTTGCTTTATATTTTGGACTCATCCGCCGTTTAAGCTAAACGTGCTACGAACAACCAGCCCTTGTTTTATAGAATCATTGCTCATTCTCGTGCAGCATAATTATCGATATATTTGAGGTTGAACCCTGCTCAATTCAATGTAAAAAATGCTCTGAATGAAGCCCACAAATACAGACAACATACCTCCTTATCTGTGCTGTGTTCATCCTCAGATTTCACGTCGGAAAACACGCCGCTGTTCGCCGAACAGTTTCCCGGTTCATTTTCAATTCCTTGTACGTCAACGCTTTCATTTGTATCGCATTTCTTGATGGTACAAATCTGCTGACTTGGTAATGAATATGGTAGGTATGCTTGCATGAAACTGGTCTTCTCCATGCACTGGTCACAGATCATCTCACTGTAATCACCATCCAATGGTGGAAGATTGCCAAGATGCTGCCATTGTAGAACAACATTCTAATTGACTCTCCATTGGTCAATAACTCCCTACTCCCCCCCCCCCCCAGAAGTTGTTTGCCATATCCAATCTATTTAGAAATTTAATCTTTTGAGCTACTTACTCTTGAGTGGAACCAATCTTCACAGGAAATGCACTGAATCATTTCATCCTCAATCTAAGATATCAGTGACTCAATTTAAAAAAAAAGCGGGGGGGGGGAGTAGGGGGCAGGGGGGAAGGAGGGGGCATATGGACCAAAGTTCTGAAAAAAATTCTGTGGCTATTCTTGAGAATCATGACATTTTCCCTCCAACCCCCCACCTAAAAAACCACATTTGAGATCCTTTTTCGTGCCACGCGCTATCATAGAGAGGCTCCAGATTTTTTGTTTTTTTAATATCACTGAACTTTTGCCCAACAAAGAAGAGTTCGTTATGTTAATGACCTGAATTCACTGCGCAATTTCTTTGTGAACAAAATTCATTAGTGTCAAAACAATAAATAATGAGGCGCAATAAATATTAAATAGTTTGAAAAGAAGGCGTTTTAACCACGGACCACAATGTAGGTTACCTTGGCAATTATAATTACTAATACACATCGTAACACACCGCAGGACAAGATCTTGTAAAAAAACTTTCTATTTCAAGCAACTTTAAGAGAAATATACAAAGTTTTCCAGCTAAAGGAAGCTTTTGATGAACGATGCAAGATTAAGGGTGTTAATCTGAAATACAGTACCGTGTCTGGGACAGATTATCCAGCAGTAATTAGTGGATGAAGGGAAAATATTTAATATTCCATGTTTACTTGAGGACTAAGTAAGTCGACGACGAATTATCGAAATTATTTCACTTAAAGAAAAGAATCATATAAAAGTTACTATCCACAGAGATTTGAACGCAAGCTCCAACACTAAAGCAACGATCTGCTGTGGCTCTCGTTCTTAACAACTTAACATCATTAACATGGAAACCAATCTTGCCACGGAGAAGGTAGATCTCGCGAAAGCAAAACGAGATTTATTGCTACGATTTATCAAAGATCAAGAACAACTTCAGACTAGTCAAGTTGGGATCAAAGCAAGCAACAACGACGAAACTTTCGATATTCTTGATGGCATAGCGGCCACAGAAGATAGTTCAAACAATGGCGGCATTGCTAACACCACTCATGAGCGAAGTGAACACAAGAAAGTCGGCTTGGAAGACATGCGGCGCATACCAAGAAGTCAAACATGTATGCCAAACTTTAGAACACAAAACGAAGGTTCTGCTTTAGAGGAGTTAAAAGAAGACAAGCTTCATTACAGACTGAAAAGTGGTAAAAAGTTGCAAAACAGAATGAACTCTGGTGAGAGGCCTTCGACTGAAGGTTCCTTTAGAAGACTTAGATCTGCTCCAACATTTACTGATCGACAACCGAGACACTTTATTCGTTCAGGAGATATTGAGGTAAAAACAAGAAAAGTGTCTTCACTCAGTATTGTGGTTCCCAAAGAAAGTGACAAACTGACAAGGCGAAGATCTTCTCTAACTTGTGCCCAGGTGACACGACCTCGGGTGGGCATTTCAGCAGTAGATGTGGAACTATTTGATAAACATACAGTTCCTTCTATCGCTGGACCTTATACAATGTTCCATTTACCACCCATTGCTTCAGACAGCGCCCCAACACCGCCATCAACGTAGTAACATGATGTCATTTCTGGTGGGGTTTAGTGAGCGTTAGAGAGGGGTAGATGGATTATGGACATGCTCACTTATATGACTGCAGTGCAGAGGAAAGCCAATAACATCACGAATGGAAAAGAAACACATCAGAAGTTCACCATACTTAGTGAAACTTATTTGTTTTCGCTAACTTTTATAGAATAATTTTGATGTACAGCTATATTAAAGAGAATTTCCGTGTGTTTTGACCATGAGATAGCTCTTTTTATCCAGAATTTATCCAGTTAAGAACAGTTTACCACACGTGAGTTTAGAGAGGAAAGTTTACAATATGTGCACGAGTTTAGTGAGAGAGGTTGCCACATTCACTACAGACCAAAATACCATTAAAAAAAGCCAATCTCTTATGACATATTGTGCAACTTGAAGAAAAAGAAAAATTGAATTGGTCAACCAATTTGTAACTTAGTTTGCAACTTAGCACGAAATCTTTTTGAAATGTTGTGCATATATAATTATAAGGTGAAAATTATTCAGGAAGATACACAGTAATAAGTTTCCACGACAACGATTTATCCTATACACAGGCATGCGCAGATGGAATGTGGCGAGATTAGAATATTTTAATCTTTTTTTCCATGCTTGTGTAACACGATGTTTATTTAAGGCTTTTGATAACAAAGACTAACGCTGAATTGTTTTGTCGAATTTTCATTAAAATTTACGCCTGATAGACGTTTAGTCTGAATGAAATACACCAGTTAAGATGAGTTTGACAAATGAAGACTAGAGCGGATTGTCTCACTGTTTTAGTGGTATTAAGACTGTCAAAATAATTGACACCAAGTCTGGCTAAGATAACCACTGTTTGCAATCACATGCACATGGCCAGATCAAAATAAATGTACTGTAACATTCTACGTATTGCAGTGGAGGACACTTTAGGAAATGCTGGAAAAGGGGGTGGGGTGGGGTGGGGTGGGTAGGGTGTTGCCCACTTTCGCATGGTAAAAGGGTCAAAATTTCTGTGTGTTAATGTAACTTGTGAACATGATGAGCCAGTTAAAATGATGTGTCTGAAAGTAACATGTACTTAGCAGGTATAATAATTATCGGAACATTTCCATATCAATTTACAAGCATTATTGTGATAATTCAGCTCCTATCCATTACTTCTGTTGACTTAAGACTTTTAGGTATTCTATAATTAACAACATATAGCAGTTGTGTTGACTCTATAATACAATAAGACGAAACAGGTCGCTTTATCAAACATGCACTGAAATATAAAAGAAGCGTAACTTTTGGCACGACTGTGACACTAAAAGCACGTGCAGTGTCATACTGTAGAAGTTATTGAAAGTTATAAATCATTGGAAAATTCATTAAGGTCGTGTTTAAATTAGAAAATTGAAATGCATAATTACAGGGAGCAGCTGAGATAATTCATCAGACAGCACACACGCAACGAAGAACAACTATACAGGGACACATGGAAATTTTCAACAATTTTTAAGGTAAAATGATCTGCAGGTAATATCTTTTTCATATAACAAAACACATTGCAACACACAACGTTTTGTTTTATTTGGATCACCGATGAAGAACTCACTTTGGTTGCTAAGAGAGTTCAAACATAGCATTTTAATTTTGTTGTACTGTTGGGTAGAAATACAAAACAAATGAAATGAATGGCATGCTCATGTTGAATATAAAACTACTGCCTAATGATATATTTCAGCAGTACTGTATCTACTTCTGATATTGCTGCTATATTAACTACGTTGGTAAAGACGTACCACCTAGATGTGAACAGTCATTATTTCTTACTCAGAGGGGTGTACAAAACATTACATTTAAGTGAATAGATAGAATTCAGGTATTAAGATAGAAAAGATGAAATTATTAAACTTTTCTGAGCAGCTCTTTGAGAATATGGATAAGATGAACAGTAGACTAATGCAATGTAAATTCTCACTTCATGTGATCACTAGAAATCGTACGTGAATCGAGCTTAACTACTAGAAAAGGCTCACAGACTTAAACTGACAGGCAAAGAGTATTTGAGAGACGTAGTCAAGTACGCAGGTGTTATCAAAGTGTGGAATTTCTCATGCAATTTCGAACTAGTTCAATTTTGATCGTCTTATAAAGAAAAAGCCACTCACATGTAAACCTATTCACTTATACAAATTATTGAAAACCATCATAGAGATAACTGGAAAGAATTTCAAGACTGAGAAAAAATATCTGTAGCTTTCTACTGAATGACGAACACAAGAGAAATGAAAGAATACTCGTCAAATATCCCTTTTGGATTCACACCATCACGAAGGATTGGTTATCCTCGAGGCGAGCTACCAACAATTAAGCCACAAAGACGAGGACTCGGGCCCATAGATGCCACTTTGGAATCACACAAAACACGAGAAAACAAAAGAAATGCTGTGATGAAGAACTATTTTGAATCCAAACAATTAATGTCATTCAACAAACATCTTGATGTCATGAAAGCTGTGTACTTTAAGAAAATGAAAAGAGAGAAAGTTCGTGTCGGCAAATCTCTCTGGGAACTTGAGCAACGAAAGCGCAAAATTATGCGACAAATATACGAACATCCTTGCACAGACGTGAATAATGCCAAAAACCCAGCGTTGTTTTACTTCACACAAGAAAAAGCACGAAAGAGATCAAGGAAGCACGAGAATAAAGAAATCGTAAATAAAACATGACGAAAATAGTTAGAGAGAATAGCTGGATATCAAGTAAATTCTTACTGCTTAATAATTGGCCTTATAACTAGAAGGTAGCAGCGAACAAAATAATACAATCATCATCATGCAGCCATTTCTGCAAAAAATAGTTCGTTGCAATGTGTGTTTACATGACGAACCTTTCCAATATAGAGTGTGTTCGTTTTAGGTCCAGTAAATCCACTCGTATTTTTATTACAGGTTTACGAAATTGCTGGTGCACATTGCTCTTGGCATGGTGAATATGCGTGGTAAATTTAGTGGCGACACCATTCAAAATGGAAGCCACAGAAGCAATTAAATCCCTTCACCTGGTATGGTAAATTTGCTATTGCTCCTGTTGAGATTCCTTTGAAACAACGGGTTACCCATCATCATGCCCTTGCTCGTATTTTTATTACATTTTTACGAAATTCCCGGTGCACATTGCCCTTGGCATTGTGAATACGCATGGTAAATTTAGTGGCGACACCATTCAAAATGGAAGCCACCGAAGCAATCAAATTCCTTCACCTGGTATGGTAAATTTGCTATTGCTCCTGTTGAGATTCCTTTGAAACAACGGGTTACCCATCATCATGCCTTTGCTCGTATTTTTATCACAGGTTTACGAAATTGCTGGTGGACATTGCTCTTGGCATGGTGAGTATGCATGGTAAATTTAATGGAAACACCATTCAAAATGGAAGCCACAGAAGCAATCAAATTCCTTCACCTGGTATGGTAAATTTGCTATTGCTCCTGTTGAGATTCCTTTGAAACAACGGGTTACCCATCATCATGCTCTTGCTCGTATTTTTATTACAGGTTTACGAAATTGCTGGTGCACATTGCTCTTGGCATGGTGAATATGCATGGTAAATTTAGTGGCGACACTATTCAAAATGGAAGCCACAGAAGCAATCAAATCCCTTCACCTGGTATGGTAAATTTGCTATTGCTCCTGTTGAGATTCCTTTGAAACGACGGGTTACCCATCATCATGCTCTTGCTCGTATTTTTATTACAGGTTTACGAAATTGCTGGTGCACATTGCTCTTGGCATGGTGAATATGCGTGGTAAATTTAGTGGCGACACCATTCAAAATGGAAGCCACAGAAGAAATCAAATCCCTTCACCTGGTATGGTAAATTTGCTATTGCTCCTGTTGAGATTCCTTAGAAACAACGGGTTACTCATCATCATGCCCTTGCTCGTATTTTTATCACAGGTTTACAAAATTGCTGGTGCACATTGCTCTTGGTATGGTGAATATGCAAGGTAAATTTGGTGGCGACACCATTCAAAATGGAAGCCACAGAAGCAATCAAATCCCTTCACCTGGTATGGTAAATTTGCTATTGCTCCTGTTGAGATTCCTTTGAAACAACGGGTTACCCATCATCATGCCCTTGCTCGTATTTTTATTACATTTTTACGAAATTCCCGGTGCACATTGCTCTTGGCATTGTCAATACGCATGGTAAATTTGGTGGCGACACCATTCAAAATGGAAGCCACAGAAGCAATCAAATCCCTTCACCTTGTATGGTAAATCTGCTATTGCTCCTGTTGAGATTCCTTTGAAACAACGGGTTACCCATCATCATGTTCTTGCTCGTATTTTTATCACAGGTTTAAGAAATTGATGCTGCGCATTGCTCTTGGTATGGTGAATACGCATAGTAAATTTGGTGGCGACACCATTTAAAATGGAAGCGACAGAAGCAATCAAATCCCTTCACCTGGTATGGTAAATCTGCTATTGCTCCTGTTGAGATTCCTTTGAAACAACGGGTTACCCATCATCATGCCCTTGCTCGTATTTTTATCACAGGTTTACGAAATTACTGGTGCACATTGCACTTGGCATGTTGAATATGCATGGTAAATTTTGTTGCGACACCATTCAAAATGGAAGCCACAGAAGCAATCAAATTCCTTCACCTGGTATGGTAAATTTGCTATTGCTCCTGTTGAGATTGCTTTGAAACAATGGGTAACCCATCATCATGCTCTTGCTCGTATTTTTATTACAGGTTAACGAAATTGCTGGTGCACATTGCACTTGGCATGGTGAATATGCACGGTAAATTTGATGGCGACACCATTCAAAATGCAAGCCACAGAAGCAATCAAATCCCTTCACCTGGTATGGTAAATTTGCTATTGCTCCTGTTGAGATTCCTTTGAAACAACGGGTTAGCCATCATCATGCCCTTGCTCGTATTTTTATTACATTTTTACGAAATTCCCGGTGCACATTGTTCTTGGCATTGTGAATACGCATGGTAAATTTAGTGGCGACACCATTCAAAATGGAAGCCACAGAAGCAATCAAATTCCTTCACCTGGTATGGTAAATTTGCTAGTGCTACTGTTGAGATTCCTTTGAAAAAATGGGTACCCATCATCATGCCCTTGCTCGTATTTTTATTACAGGTTTACGAAATTGCTGGTGCACATTACACTTGGCATGGCGAATACGCATGGTAAATTTGGTTGCGACACCATTCAAAATGAAAGCCACAGAAGCAATTAAATCCCTTCACCTGGTATGGTAAATTTGCTATTGCTCCTGTTGAGATTCCTTTGAAACAACGGGTTACCCATCATCATGCCCTTGCTCGTATTTTTATCACAGGTTTACGAAATTGCTGCTGCACATTACCATAGGCAAGGTGAATACGCATGGTAAATTTGGTGGCGACACCGTTCAAAATGGAAGCCACAGAAGCAATCAAATCCCTTCACCTGGTATGCTAAATCAGCTATGGCTCCTGTTGAGATTCCTTTGAAACAACGGGTTACCCATCATCATGTTCTTGCTCGTATTTTTATTACAGGTTTACGAAATTGCTGCTGCGCATTGCTCTTGGCATGGTGCATATGCATGGTAAATTTGATGGCGACACCATTCAAAATGGAAGCAACAGAAGCAATCAAATCCCTTCACCTGGTATGGTAAATTTGCTATTGCTCCTGTTGAGATTCCTTTGAAACAACGGGTTACCCATCATCATGCCCTTGCTCGTATTTTTATTACAGGTTTACGAAATTGCTGGTGCACATTGCTCTTGGTATGGGAAAATGCATGGTAAATTTAGTGGCGACACCATTCAAAATGGAAGCCACAGAAGCAATCAAATCCCTTCACCTGGTATGGTAAATTTGCTATTGCTCCTGTTGAGATTCCTTTGAAACAACGGGTTACCCATCATGATGCTCTTGCTCGTATTTTTATTACAGGTTTACGAAATTGCTGGTGCACATTGCTCTTGGCATGGTGAATATGCATGGTAAATTTAGTGGCGACACCATTCAAAATGGAAGCCACAGAAGCAATCAAATCCCTTCACCTGGTATGGTAAATTTGCTATTGCTCCTGTTGAGATTCCTTTGAAACAACGGGTTACTCATCATCATGCCCTTGCTCGTATTTTTATCACAGGTTTACAAAATTGCTGGTGCACATTGCTCTTGGTATGGTGAATATGCAAGGTAAATTTGGTGGCAACACCATTCAAAATGGAAGCCACAGAAGCAATCAAATCCCTTCACCTGGTATGGTAAATTTGCTATTGCTCCTGTTGAGATTCCTTTGAAACAACGGGTTACCCATCATCATGTCCTTGCTCGTATTTTTATCACAGGTTTATGAAATTGCTGGCGCACATTGCTCTTGGTATGGTGAATATGCAAGGTAAATTTGGTGGCAACACCATTCAAAATGGAAGCCACAGAAGCAATCAAATCCCTTCACCTGGTATGGTAAATTTGCTATTGCTCCATTTGAGATTCCTTTGAAACAACGGGTTACCCATCATCATGCCCTTGCTCGTATTTTTATTACATTTTTACGAAATTCCCGGTGCACATTGCTCTTGGCATTGTCAATACGCATGGTAACTTTAGTAGCGACACCGTTCAAAATGGAAGCCACAGAAGCAATCAAATCCCTTCACCTGGTATGGTAAATTTGCTATTGCTCCTGTTGAGATTCCTTTGAAACAACGGGTTACCCATCATCATGTCCTTGCTCGTATTTTTATCACAGGTTTATGAAATTGCTGGTGCACATTGCACTTGGCATGTCGAATACGCATCGTAAATTTCGGGGCGACACCATTCAAAATGGAAGCCACAGAAGCAATGAAATCCCTTCACCTGGTATGGTAAATTTGCTATTGCTCCTGTTGAGATTCCTTTGAAACAACGGGTTACCCATCATCATGCCCTTGCTCGTATTTTTATTACAGGTTTACGAAATTGCTGGTGCACATTGCTCTTGGCATGGTGAATACGCATGGTAAATTTAGTGGCGACACCATTCAAAATGGAAGCCACAGAAGCAATCAAATCCCTTCACCTGGTATGGTAAATTTGCTATTGCTCCTGTTGAGATTCCTTTGAAACAACGAGTTACCCATCATCATGCTCTTGCTCGTATTTTTATTACAGGTTTACGAAATTGCTGGTGCACATTGCTCTTGGCATGGTGAATATGCATGGTAAATTTAGTGGCGACACCATTCAAAATGGAAGCCACAGAAGCAATCAAATCCCTTCACCTGGTATGGTAAATTTGCTATTGCTCCTGTTGAGATTCCTTTGAAACAACGGGTTACTCATCATCATGCCCTTGCTCGTATTTTTATCACAGGTTTACAAAATTGCTGGTGCACATTGCTCTTGGTATGGTGAATATGCAAGGTAAATTTGGTGGCAACACCATTCAAAATGGAAGCCACAGAAGCAATCAAATCCCTTCACCTGGTATGGTAAATTTGCTATTGCTCCTGTTGAGATTCCTTTGAAACAACGGGTTACTCATCATCATGCCCTTGCTCGTATTTTTATCACAGGTTTACAAAATTGCTGGTGGACATTGCTCTTGGTATGGTGAATATGCAAGGTAAATTTGGTGGCTAACACCAAAATAAAACCACAGAAGCAATCAAAAATCCCTTCACCTGGTATGAAAGGTAAAAATTTGCTATTGCTCCGTTTTGGGGTCCCTTTGAGCACCCATCATCATGCCCTTGCTCGTATTTTTATTACATTTTTGAGAATTCCAGTGCACATTGCTTTCTTGGCATTGTCAATACGCATGGTAACTTTAGTAGCAACACCGTTCAAAATGGAAGCCACAGAAGCAATCAAATCCCTTCACCTGGTATGGTAAATTTGCTATTGCTCCTGTTGAGATTCCTTTGAAACAACGGGTTACCCATCATCATGTCCTTGCTCGTATTTTTATCACAGGTTTATGAAATTGCTGGTGCACATTGCACTTGGCATGTCGAATACGCATCGTAAATTTCGGGGCGACACCATTCAAAATGGAAGCCACAGAAGCAATGAAATCCCTTCACCTGGTATGGTAAATTTGCTATTGCTCCTGTTGAGATTCCTTTGAAACAACGGGTTACCCATCATCATGCCCTTGCTCGTATTTTTATTACAGGTTTACGAAATTGCTGGTGCACATTGCTCTTGGCATGGTGAATATGCATGGTAAATTTAGTGGCGACACCATTCAAAATGGAAGCCACAGAAGCAATCAAATCCCTTCACCTGGTATGGTAAATTTGCTATTGCTCCATTTGAGATTCCTTTGAAACAACGGGTTACCCATCATCATGCCCTTGCTCGTATTTTTATTACATTTTTACGAAATTCCCGGTGCACATTGCTCTTGGCATTGTCAATACGCATGGTAACTTTAGTAGCGACACCGTTCAAAATGGAAGCCACAGAAGCAATCAAATCCCTTCACCTGGTATGGTAAATTTGCTATTGCTCCTGTTGAGATTCCTTTGAAACAACGGGTTACCCATCATCATGCCCTTGCTCGTATTTTTATTACATTTTTACGAAATTCCCGGTGCACATTGTTCTTGGCATTGTGAATACGCATGGTAAATTTAGTGGCGACACCATTCAAAATGGAAGCCACAGAAGCAATCAAATTCCTTCACCTGGTATGGTAAATTTGCTATTGCTACTGTTGAGATTCCTTTGAAAAAATGGGTACCCATCATCATGCCCTTGCTCGTATTTTTATTACAGGTTTACGAAATTGCTGGTGCACATTGCACTTGGCATGGCGAATACGCATGGTAAATTTGGTTGCGACACCATTCAAAATGAAAGCCACAGAAGCAATTAAATCCCTTCACCTGGTATGGTAAATTTGCTATTGCTCCTGTTGAGATTCCTTTGAAACAACGGGTTACCCATCATCATGCCCTTGCTCGTATTTTTATCACAGGTTTACGAAATTGCTGCTGCACATTACCATAGGCAAGCTGAATACGCATGGTAAATTTGGTGGCGACACCATTCAAAATGGAAGCCACAGAAGCAATCAAATCCCTTCACCTGGTATGCTAAATCAGCTATGGCTCCTGTTGAGATTCCTTTGAAACAACGGGTTACCCATCATCATGTTCTTGCTCGTATTTTTATTACAGGTTTACGAAATTGCTGCTGCGCATTCCTCTTGGCATGGTGAATATGCATGGTAAATTTGATGGCGACACCATTCAAAATGGAAGCAACAGAAGCAATCAAATCCCTTCACCTGGTATGGTAAATTTGCTATTGCTCCTGTTGAGATTCCTTTGAAACAACGGGTTACCCATCATCATGCCCTTGCTCTTATTTTTATCACAGGTTTACGAAATTGCTGGTGCACATTGCTCCTGGTATGGTGAATACGCATGGTAAATTTAGTGGCGACACCATTCAAAATGGAAGCCACAGAAGCAATCAAATCCCTTCACCTGGTATGGTAAATTTGCTATTGCTCCTGTTGAGATTCCTTTGAAACAACGGGTTACCCATCATCATGCTCTTGCTCGTATTTTTATTACAGGTTTACGAAATTGCTGGTGCACATTGCTCTTGGCATGGTGAATATGCATGATAAATTTAGTGGCGACACCATTCAAAATGGAAGCCACAGAAGCAATCAAATCCCTTCACCTGGTATGGTAAATTTGCTATTGCTCCTGTTGAGATTCCTTTGAAACAACGGGTTACTCATCATCATGCCCTTGCTCGTATTTTTATCACAGGTTTACAAAATTGCTGGTGGACATTGCTCTTGGTATGGTGAATATGCAAGGTAAATTTGGTGGCAACACCATTCAAAATGGAAGCCACAGAAGCAATCAAATCCCTTCACCTGGTATGGTAAATTTGCTATTGCTCCATTTGAGATTCCTTTGAAACAACGGGTTACCCATCATCATGCCCTTGCTCGTATTTTTATTACATTTTTACGAAATTCCCGGTGCACATTGCTCTTGGCATTGTCAATACGCATGGTAACTTTAGTAGCGACACCATTCAAAATGGAAGCCACAGAAGCAATCAAATCCCTTCACCTGGTATGGTAAATTTGCTATTGCTCCTGTTGAGATTCCTTTGAAACAACGGGTTACCCATCATCATGCCCTTGCTCGTATTTTTATCACAGGTTTATGAAATTGCTGGTGCACATTGCACTTGGTATGGCGAATACGCATGGTAAATTTGGTTGCGACACCGTTCAAAATGAAAGCCACAGAAGCAATTAAATCCCTTCACCTGGTATGGTAAATTTGCTATTGCTCCTGTTGAGATTCCTTTGAAACAACGGGTTACCCATCATCATGTCCTTGCTCGTATTTTTATCACAGGTTTATGAAATTGCTGGTGCACATTGCACTTGGCATGTCGAATACGCATCGTAAATTTCGGGGCGACACCATTCAAAATGGAAGCCACAGAAGCAATGAAATCCTTCATCTGGTATGGTAAATTTGCTATTGCTCCTGTTGAGATTCCTTTGAAACAACGGGTTACCCATCATCATGCCCTTGCTCGTATTTTTATTACAGGTTTACGAAATTGCTGGTGCACATTGCTCTTGGTATGGGAAAATGCATGGTAAATTTAGTGGCGACACCATTCAAAATGGAAGCCACAGAAGCAATCAAATCCCTTCACCTGGTATGGTAAATTTGCTATTGCTCCTGTTGAGATTCCTTTGAAACAACGGGTTACCCATCATCATGCTCTTGCTCGTATTTTTATTACAGGTTTACGAAATTGCTGGTGCACATTGCTCTTGGCATGGTGAATATGCATGGTAAATTTAGTGGCGACACCATTCAAAATGGAAGCCACAGAAGCAATCAAATCCCTTCACCTGGTATGGTAAATTTGCTATTGCTCCTGTTGAGATTCCTTTGAAACAACGGGTTACCCATCATCATGCCCTTGCTCTTATTTTTATCACAGGTTTACGAAATTGCTGGTGTACATTGCTCTTGGTATGGTGAATATGCATGGTAAATTTGATTGACAATATTTTTAAACTATTACCTTCACCGTCATCTTGCAGTGTTTCTGTACCTGATGCGTATTTCAATCTCTGGTAAGCTAGTTGAATAGAAATATTAAATTTTGTTCTTGAGAATTGAAGGTAAAAGTAGCACGTCTTCTTAGTCCCAACATCTTCAGTTCAATTTGTCTATACTGACTGAAAGATTAGTGAAGGTCTTTAGGCAACTTTGTTTACTTGACAGGTGTTTTATTGACGCTGAAGTTTCTCTTGCTCGCCGGATCAGTTTGCTTTAGCCTAAATTACTTCATTAAACTTTAAACGCTGGCTATACTGACGTAAAGATTTGTACTTTGTCAATCTAAGCGCATTTTATTTGGACTTACAATCAGCCTCTTGTTGATTCAATCGCCAGAACACAAAACCAGCGATGCAGAGGAGTACAAGAAGCATTCCCACGGAAGCCACAGTGCCGACGATAATGGAATTATACTTCTTTTTATCTCTGTTGAACGTGCTTTGAGTGCATAGTGGCTCTCCTGGTCGAAGAAATGTTTGGATTTAAAGAGTATTGATACACCGATGTACGGTATAGAACTAGTAGATATCAGTGGTAACGTGATATGATGGTACGGTGATGATGGTCATCATGATATGGTGATAGTGGCAATGATGGTAATGATAATGATGGTATACTGGTGGTTTGTACCTTTATCACTAAGTACAATCCTATGGGTACTTTGTTGTGTGGCTCCTAACGTATTGCTTGCTGCACATTGATACTCTCCAAAATCATCTTTTCCATTTGGTGTGAAAGTAAGATGACTTGCCCTTGTGAACTTGGATGGTGCGATCTTCAAATCAAATTCCGCTGATTTATCTTTATTTACTGTCTGTTTTCCTTTATACCAAGTGAATTCTGGGGCGGGGTTTCCTTCTGCTGCGCATTTCAATGTGACTTGGTTGCCAACACACGAGGTCACAATCGATGGTGAAGATCGTCTTGGCAGAATAGAGGCACGTGCTATTTCAAAAGAAGAACATTTTCTTAAGCCATTCAAAAAAGGTGGACTGTTGATCTATGTTGAATGGCATTTGTGAATAGGATATGTAGTACCTAAGTCCAGACCATCTCCAACGTTGAGTACATTGTTTGGAGTAGATTTGAGAAGGATTGACGTTTTTTTTCGTGCCTTTTCTTTTTGTGTTCGCTCAGTTTGGTAGAACACTAAAGAGAATGGTATGAACGGTTTTGATAAGTTGAACTTCGCTTGGCCTGCATGCCGACTCCTGAGTTAAGTTACGCACCTAAATTTCCATCGTGTTTGTCAACCGTTTTATCGTCGCTTTTTGCATTGTCCTGAGGTATTTTGTCCTTTGCGGTACCTATTTGGTGTTGCATGAAAGCATTAGAAAATCATAGACTATGGATTATTCAGGACACTATGAAGTTTGCCAGGACTGTTGTTTGAGAACTTTCTGTTACGTTGTTGTAGGGAATTGTACCTTGATGAGTCTCCTTTGGATCTTTTCCTACATAATATATTTTGTTCTCTAACTTTTTGTGATTCGGGAATTTATTTGACCGTTCCACTTGAGATGAAACTTCAGCCTGTGTTGAAAGAACCAATTGTTTCTCACATGGTTTGAACATTCAAGTAAAATAGCTACATACACTACGTCTTTACATTATTTCCCATCCCCGAGCAATAATTCCTCATTTCCTTATTAATCGTTTTTAACGGAACAAGACGAACAACGATGATGATAAATCCTCATTTAGAACCGGCCGCTAAGTTGTAATAATTTCAGTTGCGTCAATAAAACATATTTTATATATACCCTACTAACCTCACTGCAAAGTGTAATATGTACATGTACACTTAATAAAAGCAATATTCCAATGCACCGTTCATTCATTTTAGAAACCCTCATGTCAACATAGAAAATATTGCACTTTCCCAGTGTAAACGATGAAAATATTTTTTGCTAACTATCGGTTTTGAACGCATGACTGAAGATATCTACAGGTACCAAGTTTGCTGACGAAAGCTACTCAGTTCAGTTGTTATTGAAGACAGGGGCAAGTGACACTACTGTTGAAATAGTAGTATATACCACCGTTTGTGGTGTCACGGTGTCGAGTGGTTTCGATAAAAAGTAGTCAAAACCGCAACCCCCAACTTTGTGTATTTTATATGCAAATGCTCATACATCTAAAAACTTGAATATGTGGCCAGTGTAGGCGGCGGATAGTACAACGTCAACAAGCAGGAAAGGTTGTACAATAAAATTGCACGTTTTGAGCAAAGACCTTTGATAAAATTTGAACCCAAACTTGGCAGAAAGCCCGTGTGGCCTCCCCAAGGATTTCCTGGTTCAAAAACTACAGGTAGATATTTAACGACATTTGTAGTCTTTGTAAAATCCTCAGAGCGGTTGCTTATTTATTGAACAGCACCACGGAAACTGTTTTTGCAAGTTTTAATAATGAGCACCATACGCAAGAAATTATCGCGGGTACTATCAATTATTAACATTGAATAATTATTATTCATTGACCAATACCAAAAACGAACCGGAAGTAGGAACTCATAGTTCATAGCGTTCGTGTCTAGACGGAAATTCAGAAAGGAAGATTTGTTCAATGTTGACACTGGAGAGGGAGAACTTCATTATTGAACTATTTCGGGCCATTCAAACGCCTTATCACCAATTTTGAGGTGACTGGAGCTTCAAATATGAATTGTGGTATATCTGGACGTATTTGTATGTATTTGGAAGCCTTTATTACGCCTCAGTGTGACTTTATTTGAGTGTTATTACCGACCATTTGTATGTATTCATGGCCATTAGCTTGGTGATTTCTGTCACATCGTCTACATTTCAAGTATCTCTATAAAATAAACTAAGGAGTGTCCTCCTGAACTTTGCTTTTGTGTTGTTAAAATGGTACGGGGAGAAATGAAAAAGACGTTCAGTATTCGATCGAAGAAGAAAGTTAAGTCAGATGCTGATAGAATCAGTACAGGCAGTACTGATCAAAGACCAACTGTAAAAGTGTTTCTTCCAAATGGCGAATTCAGAAGCGTTAAATGTGGAGATACTACAGATATAAAAGTAAGTTTTCTTTACTTATATGCTCTCTTGTATAACACGAAACTCAAAACAAAGTTGAAGTAGAGTTGGGGCTTTTATTTACCCTTTGTTTGACATTTTTTGAACAGCTAGTCTAAACTTCCTTCTCGCAAATGTTTATCATAATATCACAATTCTTTGTTATTATAAGTACAAAAGTTTAGGCGCTTTTTCTTAGTTCTAATTGTCTTAAATTTGGGGGTTTTTTAATCTTTTCTTCACACAAAATTTTCAATGTGTACATTTACACGTTACATTTCTATTTCGTTTTCTGTTTATACGTCATGACTTAATTTGTAAACGAACTAAAGACTAAATTTAGTTCAACAATTAATTCTCCATAGGAAGTTAACATATCAATAATTACTTTCAGTCTTTTCTTTAATCTTCGCCAACACAAAATTCTGGATAATTTTAGGTCATATTATGTCGTTTATTTCGTTGTCTATATCGCTGAGATGTTAGTGCAAAACAAGGCTGGGATAAAAGACAGACAATTTGCTTCGCCCAACTGAGCAAATATTTTAGAGGACATTTTTTATAGATTTGTTGTGAAATTATTATAGTGTTCCACCTACTGAGAGATTTTTGTAACAATTAGAAGCAATCTTGCATTCCAAATTGCAATTAGAATGTGTTGCTATCGAAATGGTTTGTTCTCAAGTCTTATCTTTCTCTTTAGCTGTTAATGATTGAGTTTAGTTTTTAAAGTGCAATGTATATTTTAATAGTGGGTGTCAAGTTTCTTGAGGAAAAGCCTTATAATTTATTAATACACAATGTCAATATAATATACACAATACTTGCAGACAAATTTATGTCAATTGATGAATGAAAAGAACTTTGAAACATGTGCTTATTGAATGTTCCTATAATTAATCAATGTATTGTTTTTCATGATCAATACAAACTTTCACCATCATGGTTAAACTAGTTTCTTTCGTTAAACAAAATTGTCATTCTGTAGAATAAAATGGCAAACATAACTCTTGCAGCTTAGTGTGCTTACATAAGACTTTTTAATCCATTAAGGACCACCAAGGTCACATGAAACTTGACCACCCTGGAGGACAAATTTAATTTTAATGGAGGCCGGCCCTCAGCCCTTAAATGGGTTTAGTAGGACTATGGGATATGCTTAAAATATGCTTCCAATATTATTGTTATCAACAAGATATTTAACATTTTTCCATGTAGGTGATTTTCAAGCCTAATGCTTAGACATTTTCCTTTTTATTTCAGGATATCATTCATCTAGTTATTGAAAGTCTTGGGGTTAATGTTGTTACAGCACACATATTTTATGGAATGAGGATAGAACATCCACAATCACTCAGGGCTTTTTGGCTAAGAAGATGGTTCACTGTTCAAGAAGTTCGAGCAAAATATGAACACATGCTTCCCTTAGATGAATGCAGGTAATAGAGAAGATACTAGTTCAATGTCAAGGGGACATTGAAGAAACTTGCATATTTCTAGACTTCCCGAGCATTTGCTTGTGCTGTCATTTATGAATCATCAGTATTTTTAATGGAGAAGATGAAACCTCTTGCATTTTTCATAGATATACGTTGCGAATAAAATTCTTTCCAGAGGATTTAACAAGTTTTTATCTAAAGGATAAAGCTAGTTTCTTCTTCTTATATGACCAGGTAATTTCATTAATCAGCCTTTGATTTTTTTGCATTTCCTTGTTGCCTCAATATTTTAGAATATTTCTTTCATTGTTTCTACAGATAAAAAATGATTATCTCAATCATGTTGCAGAGAAAGTAGACCAGGATATTGCCTTTAGATTAGGTGCTTTAGAAATGAGGTATGTTGTTTATTGAAATATTAAGTGATGATACAATAATTGGCCAGCCAAATGCAGGAACTGCTACCATAATATTTCCAATCCTGTTCAAATTTTTAGGAGACATTTCAAAGACATGCCTCCAAATGCATTAGGGAAGAAGTCTAATTTTGAAATTCTTGAGTATGTTAAACAACTTTTATTTCTTCATTTCCATATACTACTACCATTTGTGAGCAAAAGTAACATCAAAACATGGCAATAAAAGGTGTCCTCTTTCTCAACATAGAAAAGAAGTTGGATTTACAAAGTTTTTACCAAAATCTATTATTGAAACAATGAAGGTAAGTTGTCTGACATTCCCTTTGAACTTGATCCTTCCAACTTTCCTTTACACAGGATGACTGACAATCAGTTGAACAGATAATTACTAAATGTGATTTGTCTCTGTTTAGTCTAAAGCTCTAAGAAAAATCTTAAACAGCTACTTCAAGCAATATTCAGAGCTGAATGAAGAACAATGTTGTCATAAATTTCTTGAACTTCTTCCTACAATCCACAGATATGACTTGGAAACTTTCAAGTGTTCTCTCGGAGTGAGTATTGCCATTTATAACATGCTTACTGAAACCAGTGCTAGGAGTCTTGAATGTTGGTTGGACATCATATTTTTCCAGGCTGTTTTTCATTCAAAAAATGATGATTAAATTTTGTTGAATATTTCCGGAAGTGATGATCTTCCGTGGGATATTATAGTATCCCACGCTGGATTGCGAAATCATGAATTTGTGAAATACCGTAAAAAATCACACTATCACGAGGTACAAATGCTGTTTTTTCTTTGGACAATTTGAATTTAAGGTATAATATTAATAATTATAACAGTTACCTGCAATCATATAGATTGTGATCAGAAAACATCTTCCCTTCGTGTGGTAATTTTTTCGACAAAACTAATTTTTGTATGGCTCTTTGAAGAGGAAAATAGGTCATGAAAAACCGAACGATGATATCTGGATTAGGAATGTGAAAAGCCTTCTCCACGTCGACCGCACTGGCACCAGCTTTTCCAGCAACTGATTCAGGCAAATCTAATTCCACAACGTCGGACAGTAAACCAGTCAGTTTTTCTCTCTGTTCATCTTTCCCAAGGTAAGAACGAATTCGAAGTTCAGATGCAGTAGCTAAAATAAAATTCAGATTGTGGGCTTCGTCTTCTGTAATCAGCTGTTTCTTTTGCATTTCGTCAACAATTTCCCAAGTGTTGCGTGAATCTAGATTGTAATAGAAGGTCAGACTATTCAGCACCAAACTAGGAAATCTGTACAGTTCCTTCTTGACATTGAACATTTTGCCAGCTTCACTCCATTTGAAATAGAGGCTAAAATCTTCGACTATCTCGTTCAAGCTCTCAAACCCCCTCTTGGATCCATTAGTCAACATATCTTGATCAGATGGATCTTGCAAGCTTTCGTTAACTTTCACGTTGTACAATTTAACCAGTTCTTCATCGCCGGTGACAAACACCGAAGTGGCCAACACATCAGCCAAGTGGTAGCCTTCTTTGATAGCAAGTTGCTCGCTTTGCAATGCGGCCATGTTGCCTGGTGTTTTAATCAGTTCAATGGCTTCTTTAGTTTGAGTTTCCTTACGACCAAGTGGATACTTGCTTGCCCATGGCATTGCTCCATCGAAGGAACACCCTTTCGGACCATCATCAAAGAACCACATGCGTGCAGGATCGCCAGAGTAGAAATCATTTAACGAGGTGATACCCATTGAAGGCAAAATTGTCTCGCCTAGGTTGAGAACTTTCAAGTGGAAATAGCGTGTGATGTTTCGGAAATATTCCAGGTTGGATTCCGTTTCCGCACCGTCCTCAAGGAGAATTGCAAATTCCATATCAGAATAAGGAGTCATTTCGTTCCGGGCCAATGAGCCAAGCCCAATCACTGCAAATCGACAAGGTGCGTTGCCTAGCACTGATGTACATTCTTCGATCAGCATTTGAATGAAGTCAATCATGTCTTTGGATATCTTTCGGAAAAGTGTTGATATCAAGCTGGTTCGTCTTTTTTCCAACACCACTCGTTGCTCTTCATCAAGCGGCATTACTCCTGGGTCACACTCAAAGTCAACCTGACGAATGATTTCTTTGCAGCTATCACGAATCGTGCTTAACACATCCTTGTGTTTGATGTCGTTTTCATAGTCGGGAAAGTCTATTAAAGAGTCCCTTAGGAGAATGGAACTTAAAAACTGCCTCTCTGCTTCTTTAATGCGACTTATTAGGTGCTTTTTGAGCTCATCTTCAGTGCTTGTAGATCTTGCTAGTGCTGCGTTATATAGCGCTGTTGCGTTTGTGAAGTCGTCTCCAGATTTTCTTTTCATCAGGTAGATGTTACCAAGTTCTTCAAAGCACGTTCTCATTTCCTTCGTTTTTCGTTCTGGAGATACCAATTTCAGAGCTGTTGAATAATGTTTCTCAGCTGTTTGAAGATCGCCTTTGGATAGGGCATCGCTTCCTTTTGAGAGGAGCTCATTGAACTCGGAACTGTTAGAACGTCAATCAAGAAAAAATAGAAATAAACAAAGAAATCAAATTAATCAGGTGCGCCCCATTTATATACATGATACGAGACTTCTGGTTGCATTGAATGCCTTTATAAACAACCACCCCAATACGTGACCTACTTCATTTATTCATGATAAAATCTAAATATATCGATTATCACCTCGGAATCAAGGAACGAAGTTTGTCCTATTAATGTTTATTGATCCATTTTGCTATTTATTTCGATTGGTTGCGAGGGTTATGGTTTTAGGATTATCATGATTACGAGAGCACCAGAATGTTCACGTGACTACCATCATCGTCACGTGATCGTGATCATCGAGATCTTGTGATGATCACATGCAATCACAGCAGAAAAATTGAAATTTATCAATATCAAAATTGCATACTGAAAGTGGCCCGTAGCTCTATAGCTGTTACCGAAACAGAAGATAGGCATTTTGTAGACGCAAAAACACATGAAAAAAAGCATGCTTATAACCTCACCGACTTCTTAAGCTGATACAATTTCACGTAAATACAGGACAGTAAAGTTTGACCAACGAACCTCTCAGATTTCGTATTTGTTGTAGACTCCATTGTGATGCGGTGGAGAGTATTCTAGCTAAATAGAGCACACTTTGTTTTATAAGTATAGTCACGGTTCCCAATAAACACAGGAAATTTTCGCTTGAACCTTCAGAGGTTCAACGGAATGAGCTGGCTCTTCTAGGAAGCTGCTGATTATATGTACTGATCAGTGTTAATGAATAATTAAGAATATGAAACAACGATTTGATATCAGTGCTTCAATTTATTTTTTATTCCAAAATTGAAACATTGTGACCGACCGGAATTTGTCTTTGTAAAGTTAAGTGAAATTCTGTTCAAATATTGACTTTACGCGACGTAAAGAAAAACTTCTACTCTTTGTGTCACAGTGTTAAATTTTCTTCTATCGTAAACATGCATGTGAACAATTATTGCGCAGAAAAAAGGAGAAAATAATGAAATCATATATTAAGTCAGTTCTCTGCACCATTGACTAATTGCAACAAAATCACCTGTCAGACTTGGAAGTAAAAATCAAAAGTAAATCAACCAGAAAGTGAAACGTGTCTAAATATGGATATAATGTGGCAATATAACAGGAAATTCAAAAATAGAAAAAAATACAGAAATATTTAATGACTGTACTATATTATGTGGAATTCGAAAATTTCATCTCCTCGCCCTTAATTATCAACATCAACTATCACCTACCAAAAATTTCGAGCTTGTAATCTAATTCTTAAATATTAATAAATTACTGACTGAGAGTGAGGGCTGTACGGGAAAATATCAAACTGAGGTCTTGCTGTATTGACCGATCTATAGCGAGGTTAAGTCTGGTTAACATACAGCATGACCGAGGTTTGATGTTTTCCCGTACAGCCGAAGTAAGTAAGTTTTTTTAAGGATTTGCGAAGCAAAATCCTTTATGTCATCGGGTAGTGTAAGTGCGTAGGTGCGTAGGTGCGTAAGTGCGTAACAATAGAATGGCGATCAGTTCCGACTACTCCAAATCTCGTGATATGTCGGTAGCGCCATTACTTTTGACGATATATCGGCATATGAAATACATGTTTTATTTTCTGGGCTGTATATTATTTAAAAATAGGCCGTTGTATTAACTTAAAAAGAAAAAAAACATTGCAGGTTATCAGTGAAATGCGAAGGAAAGTCGATCAAATGTCGACACTCGACAAGTGGAACTTCCACTGTTATGACTATTGTTTCTTGATTTAAATTTCACAGATGTTTTAATTTTGCCAGCGTTTCGCTTTGGTAAAGCGCATAGCGAGTTTACAATACTATGGGCTGTAAATATCGCAAATCCTTATACGCACTGTCACAGTGCCTATTTTTTATTATATGGCATAAGTGCGCCGGTTTCGAATTGAGCTCAGACAACATGCACGAATATAGCAAATTATCATACTGTACTCGTTTATAAACTGCCAAAAAAAAACAGTTTCGTATCCTCTATTTTCAACCTCTGGGTAATAAAACTCGCTCTCAGAATGCTCCCCGTCGCTCATTTCAACACTTTTTGATTTCAATAAATAAAATTTCATTGAATTTTAAAGTTTTCTGTGAATGTTTCCTGACAAGGCAATAAAAATTGCATATTGACCGTGGGCAATACCGAAAAGTTCTGCCCCGTCAGCAGCCAATCAGATTGCGCCATTCACCAAAACAAATGCTTGCCATATAATAATAAACAATTATTGGATGAGACTAAGCTCGATAAATAATTCTTCCTGTTCTACATGCCACCATCTTTTTTGCTATGGCCTCCCAAAACACTCACTGGTGCATGTTTTTCTGGTGTATCCCAAATTGCACGCATACACAAAATTAATGACTTGCGCAAAAGACGAACACTGACATCTCAAAGGCTGCATTCCAGTTACGCGTTTTTACACGTACGTGTACGCACGCGGAAGTCTAAATCTCTCTGTATTTCATTTTATTAATAAAATGCCTTTAGAAACACATACTACATCATTCAAAGTACGTGATGCTTTACATTATTCATGTGATTGTATAGAAACTAACGTTAAAATTAATTTCAATTTTTACGTGCGTACACGTACGAATGAAAAACACGTAACTGGAAAGCAGCCTTTAATATATACCTTGTCTATGAGTGCTATGCTTCTTCGCGACTAAACTATCCAGAACTGTTTCCTTGTGAAGCTTGGAGTTGGCTGTACCAAAATACGAGTCGAATGCCTAACAGTCTCGCCTGAACCAGTTTCACTAAATTATGCGTCTCGCCCAAGACCTGCACCATAATTGGGAGGGATTTTTCATAACATTGGCACGCGGCAGGAAAGTCAGCCAAACCCTCGTACGATTGACCAAGACTGTACAGACCGAAAGCGACCTCACGACTGCACGATCCCGCGTCGCCGTACCTTTGCAGAGAATCCTTGATGTACTTAATGGCTTTCTCGTACTGACCCAACTCATAGTAAACATTGCCTATGTTACCAAGTGTGATGGCGATGCTTTGATGAGTCGCATTGGGTCCGTACAATGCGTATTTCATGTTCAACGATTCCGTGTAGTAGTCGATCGCTTCCTCGAATCTTCCAAGTTGATGGTAGACATTTCCAAGATTTGTTAAAGTTTTGGCAGTCTGCAAATGCGCTCTGTCAATACCGTACAGCTGATGTTTCAAAGACAGAGATTTTTCCAAACACGACAACGCTTTCTCCGAGTTTTCCAAACTTCGATACGCTGTTCCTAAGGTATCGAGTACTGCGGCAAGCTGGATGGAGACACCTCTTCCGTCTAAAACCGCCAATGCTTTCTCCAGCACCTCAGCTGCTTTCTCGAATTCCGAGATCGCAATGTACTGACCTCCCAAGTTACACAGGTTTGTGCTGATCGTTGAATCAGGGACATTCTCGGCCCCATAGTGCTCTTCGTCCAGACGAATGGCTTCCTGGCAAAACTTGATCGCTTCCAGTGAACGACCCAAGCGAGCATATGCAGTGGAAACATCCCTGTATGCTTCAGCGACATCCATGTTCATCTCTTTGCGTTTCTCCAAACCACGTTGGAAGTACAACAGCGCGTTTTCGTAATCACCCAGATTCAAGCAGCAGTATCCCGTATCGCGAAAGGAGTCTGCCAATACCAACTGCGCGTTCTTCAGGCCATCTTTGCTATCGTATAATGATCTACAATATGAACGTGGAAAACAATACATAATTTTAACCAAAGCGACAATGATGCGATTTAGGCCTTTGTTAGTCAATTGGCTGTTTGCAAAAAAAAAAAAAAATGGCGTAAATTTGCAATTTCAGTTGACGGGCAGGTGGGACGAAAATCGATCCGTTGGAGACATTTTAAGTCTTAGATAGATGTGTTACCGTCATTTTATCTTGCTACAAGCACTTAAATACTGGGAAAAATCGTGCACAAGTTGTTCAATTGCCCGTCTTTTGGGAAAAAAGTCAGGTGATTGCAAACAAGCAATAGCGGGAGCATGTCTCGCGATTCATTAACAATTTGGTTTGTTTAATTGTTCCTTTAAGAAAAATTGAAATCAGAGAGAAAAGTTATTTTAAAAAATAATTAAAATCAGGTCACCGGAAATAACTTGACATCCAACAGGAAGTTGGGATAGAAAAAGCGAATGCCAAAATCTATGAAAATCCATCCCCAACAACGATATCAATAACACATTAATCACCTTCTCATTTCCAGCCCTTTTCGGCAGCATTCATACCCTTCTTTATACTTCCCTAGATGGCGGTAAACCTTTCCCAAGCTGTTTAAAGTTGTCGCATAGCCCTGGTGAGGTTTGCCGTCGACAAGAATGTCTTGCCAAAGTTTCTCGGCTTCTTCTAAATAACCCGCTGCCTTTTCAAATTGATTCAGCTCGATGTGAAGAAAGCCAAGATTGCTAAGAACAGTGCAGACATCCTCGTGCGCAAAGTTATCTTTGTGGATTACGCGGAATAGTTTTAGAGCTTCGTTCCATGCTTCCAATGCGTCGGGTATATTTCGTAACACGAGATATGCCCCACCAAGATTACAAAGCGTGCTAGCTACTCTTGGATGCGAGATTTGTTTCCCATACAGTAATTTCTGGATTTGCAGGGCTCTTGTGAAATATTTGATTGCTTGTTCATGATCAAATAGAGCTGAATAACAGTGTCCCAATTTACTAAGAAAATCAGCAATTTCGGGATGTACTTCGTTTCTACCACGCAGCTGTTCTCCCATATATAACGCTTGCTTGTAAAGCGCCACCGCTTGCTCGTAATCCTTCGCATTGAAATACGCAGTCGCCAGACTAGCAAGTGACGACGCTAAATATGGATGAAGGACACCGTTCCCGAACACCGTCTTTATTGTTTCAAACAAGTCCCTATATCCACCCAAGGCCTTCTCAATATCGCCCTTTTCGGAATAGGCGGACAGCAGGTTGTGCAGGAAAACGCAGTAGTGTGACCCAACCCGTTTTTTGCCGACTTTTTTGACGATTTCGACAGCTTTCTCGGAATAAAAAATAGCCTGCTCGAGATTTTTCATTTGCCGATAAGCACCAGCCATGCCGTCATAGGAAGCGGCAATATACAATGCACGAGGCTTCCCTCCGTACACAGCCATTTGTATATTTAAATCTTGTTTGTAGAACGACAATGCTTTTTCGTATTCTCCAAGTGAAGCGTAAATATGGGCACGATCGCGGTAAGAGTTTGCGAATTCCATGTTGGGTTTGACCCCATTGTACTTCTTCTCTAAAACTTGAGCTGCCTTCTCGGAATATTGAGCGGCTTGTTCAACTTCACCTAACTCCCAGCAGAGATGTCCAAGTGTTGAAAGTGTGTCAAACAGCTCCGGATTTTCGCCTAGGTCTCCCTGGTCCAGCTCATCTTCTACCAGGGAAACCACATTTTCAAGACAAGACTTGGCTTCCTTGAACTCCATCAGACGAATATGGATAAGTGCCTTCGTTAACGGCCTACATGGTGTAATGAAACGCATTAGATTCATAATTCTAATTCTCATTCGACAATTTGAATTTGAGGTATAATATTAATAATTATAACATTTACCTGCAATCATATAGATTGTGATCAGAAAATATATTCACTTTGTTTGGTGATTCTTTAGACAGGAATTCATCGATGGCTTTTTGAAGAGGGAAAAAGGTCATGAAAAATCGAACGAAGATATCTGGATTAGGAATGTGAAAAGCCTTCTCCACGCCGACCCCACTGGCACCAGCTTTTCCAGCAACTGATTCAGGCAAGTCTAATTCCCCCACGTCGGCCAGTAAAACAGCCAGTTTTTCTCTTTGTTCGTCTTTCCCAAGGTAAGAACGAATTCGAAGTTCAGATGCAGTAGCTAAAATAAAATTCAGATTGTGGGCTTCGTCTTCTGTAATCAGCTGCTTCTTTTGCATTTCGTCAACAACATCCCAAGTGTTGCGTGAATCCAGATTGTAATAGAAGGTCAGACTATTCAGAACCAAACTAGGAAATCTGTACAGTTCCTTCTTGACATTAAATATTTTGCCAGCTTCACCCAAGTCGAAATAGAGGCTAAAATCTTTGACTATCTCGTTCAAGCTCTCAAACCCCCTCTTGGATCCATTAGTCAACATATCCTGATCAGATGGATCTTGCAACTTTTCTTTGACTTTCACGTTGTACAATTTAACCAGTTCTTCATCGCCGGTGACAAACACCGAAGTGGCCAACACATCAGCCAAGTGGTAGCCTTCTTTGATAGCAAGTTGCTCGCTTTGCAATGCGGCCATGTTGCCTGGTGTTTTAATCAGTTCAATGGCTTCTTTAGTTTGAGTTTCCTTACGACCAAGTGGATACTTGCTTGCCCATGGCATTGCTCCATCGAAGGAAAACCCTTTTGGACCATCATCAAAGAACCACATGCGTGCAGGATCGCCAGAGTAGAAATCATTTAACGAGGTGATACCCATTGAAGGTAAAATCGTCTCGCCTAGGTTGAGAACTTTCAAGTGCAAATAGCGTGTGATGTTGCGGAAATATTCCAGGTTGGATTCCGTTTCTGCACCGTCCTCAAGGAGAATTGCGAATTCCATATCAGAATAAGGAGTCATTTCGTTCCGGGCCAATGAGCCAAGCCCAATCACTGCAAATCGACAAGGTGCGTTGCCTAGCATTGATGTACATTCTTCGATCAGCATTTGAATGAAGCCAATCATGTCTTTGGATATCTTTCGGAAAAGTGTGGATATCAAATTGGTTCGCCTTTTTTCCAACACCACTCGTTGTTCTTCATCAAGAGGCATTACTCCTGGGTCACACTCAAAGTCAACCTGACGAATGATTTCTTTGCAGCTGTCACGAATCTTCTCTAACACATCTTTGTGTTTGATGTCGTTTTCATAGTCGGGAAAGTCTATTGGTGAGTCCTCTGGGAGAATGGAACTTAAAAACTGCCTCTCTGCTTCTTTAGTGCGTCTTATTAGGTGCTTTTTGAGCTCATCTTCAGTGCTTGTACATCTTGCAAGTGCTGCGTTATATAACGCTGTTGCTTTTGTGAAGTCGTCTCCGGATTTAGTTTTCTTACCATATTCCAAGTAGATGTTGCCAAGTTCTTCGAAGCACGTTCTCATTTCCTTCGTTTTTCGTTCTGGTGACACCAATTTCAGGGCTGTTGAATAGTGATTCTCAGCTGTTGCAAGATCACCATTGGAAAGGGCGGTGCTTCCTTTTAAGAGGAGCTCATTGAGTTCGGAACTGTTAGACAAGTAAATCAGAAATTGAAATAAACAAAACAAAAAACAAAACAAAAAAACAAAACAAAAAACAAAAAAAAAAACAAAACAAAACAAAATCAAACATGAATCAAATTCAATCAGTAAATGAGATTGCACCATTTATATATAATATGGGTCCCTTGGTTGCATTATTTATGTATATTGCATCTATTTTATTTAATCAGGCCACGAAGGCTGAATAAACTTTCACCACGTGACCAATGCAAATGTTTCTGTAAAATCAGAGAGGAAACCTAAATTATCCGAAAAAATAATTCAAAAACGCGGGCAAAGAAGACATCTTTAAAGGAAAACGCTATGAAAAGGATTCGTCATTATCGCGATCACGAGTTCTCTACCATTTTCACAGTTCCGTGTTCATCAACATGTCGATCACGTGATCACTATCATCAAAATACTAGAAATACATGCATGCAATAACCCCTCGCCTGTTTTCAAAAGATATATACTCAGTGCCGTTGCGAGTACTTCGTCGCAGGGGGGGGGGGGAGATAGAGAGGGGGGGGGGTTACCAACAAGTTTCCAGATGTACAAAAATTTTTCAGGACATATAATAATTTTTCCGAAATTTAATACAGTTGTTTTCCAAATTTACTTTCTCAGTTATGTCCTGAGAATTACCTGAATCCCCTGAAAATCTTCTGCAAATCGACTTAAATGTAGGTACTAAAAGTGCACTGGAAATCTACCTGAAATTCATCATGAGCAATAATCAGGGGTGTTGCACCCCCCCCCCCCCCCCCCAGTGAGTTCCAAGCAAACACTCTCTGATTTATTGTTCGTGTATTTCGATCACCTCCCAAAATATTGTGCATCATACTATAGAGCATTTTGCTGTTGTCATGCTCTAGCATGGTTCAAATTTATGAATTTTTATTATATAAAGTATAGTGTTTTGCAGAGTTTTCGAGCACTGACAAAAATGATAATCTCAGATGTGAAATTATTCATGATAATCTCACATGTAAAAATTTATCGCCTTTTCAATTATCGCTTTTCTGTAAACATTATCGCTTTTCATTTAAGACTGTCCTTTATATAATAAACAGAAAATACATGGCTGGTTGCATGGAAATACCAGATTTATTTTTTGTGTTGAACATGACATCTCACTCGTTCGCTGCACTCACTTGTTCGCTGCACACTCATGTTCAACACTCGAAATAAATATATCTGGTATTTCGTGCACCCATGTATTATTCTCTATTTAAACTACAGCTAGACTGGTTTAAATTATTATCAATTTATCAGTGATTGTAAAAGTTGGAGATAGAAGTGTTTTGTTTTATAAAATTATCAAGTTGTCGGTGATCGCAAAACCTCCAAATTATCCTTAATTTCAAATGTTAGAATGTTAGGGTTAGAATGTTAGGGTTTGTAATATATACATTTTAAGTGAGAATATATACATTTTAAGACCTAACCAGGAACGACTGCGAAAAATGCAGCACAAGGTCCTCTGGTAGGAATTGAACCTACGGCCCTGCGATTCCGGTGCGGCGCTCTAACCAACTGAGCTACAGAGGCCAGCTGTTGAGCTTTAACCGTAAGTTCATGTATATTTAAGTAATCGGGTGTGCGGGTTATCATAAGGTGGACTTCAATAATTTGGATTCTTGCACTTCACTTGGTGGACTTAATATTAGAATGTTAGGGTTTGTAATCCAAGTGAGAATATATACATTTTAAGACCTAACCAGGAACGACTGCGAAAAATGCAGCACAAGGTACTCTGGTAGGAATTGAACCTACTGCCCTGCGATTCCGGTGCAGCGCTCTAACCAACTGAGCTACAGAGGTCAGCTGTTGAGCTTTAGCCGTAAGTTCATGTATATTTAAGTAATTGGGTGTGCGGGTTATGATAAGGTGGACTTCAATAATTTGGATTCTTGCACTTCACTTGGTGGACTTAATATTAGAATGTTAGGGTTTGTAATCCAAGTGAGAATATATACATTTTAAGACCTAACCAGGATAGACTGCGAAAAATGCAGCACAAGGTCCTCTGGCAGGAATTGAACCTACGGCCCTGCGATTCCGGTGCAGCGCTCTAACCAACTGAGCTACAGCTCAGCCAGCTGTTGAGCTTTAACCATAAGTTCATGTATATTTAGGTAATCGGGTGTGCGGGTTATGATAAGGTGGACTTCAATAATTTGGATTCTTGCACTTCACTTGTTGGGATTAATATTTGAATGTTAGAG